TCTTGTCAACCAGAGCCTGACCTGCCTGGATCTGAGCGACAATGAGCTTGGATGTGCTGGGGTGCAGCAGCTCTGCCAGCTACTGAAGCATCCTGCCTGCCGGCTGTGGACACTGGGGTAAGGGATATGGGGCTTCCCTGATCGTTCTCTACTCCACTGCCCTGACATCCAAGGAAAAGCTCTGTAATTGCCCCTACTCAGGCTTCTCCATTTGTGCTTGACCAGAAATGCCCCTTCAAGGGTGGCTCTCTGGGCATCACAGTCTGAGTGGTTTTTGTTTGTTTGTTTGGCTTTGGCTTTTTTTTTTTTTTTTTTTTTGCCAGGCAGAGACCTCACAGACCCACAGGCACCTGGGCCCTGCATGGCCTATGCCTTTCACTCCAACAACAAGGAGGTCCTGGGGTGTCCTGGACAGTTGCACTCTCTAGACTTGTGTGCCCCAGAGCTAAAGAGCTAACCAAGAGTTCCGGGCCGCTGTGACCTCAGGCCAGTGTGGCAAATCCCATGGGCTGTGGGGCCTTGAGTCCCTTCTGCTCTCTGTCACACTTCCCCCCGCAGCCCCAGGGCAGTGAAATCCATGGACGAGGAGTGGGGAAGGCAGCCAGGCTGTGGCCGTGCAGGTATCCTGGGGCCAGATGCTGTGGGGCAGGGACAATGTATCCTCATCAAGGTCTTTGTTGCCCTGCAGTCTCATGCACCAGTCAGTATCTAGGGTAGTTTGACCAGTTCTTGTCCTTTCCTTGCTCTATTTAAAGACTGAACACATCTGGATTAAATGAAGAAACACAGCAGGAGCTGGCTGCGGTCAAGAGAATAAAGTCCAACAGAGCTTTGGATCCAGCTCACAACAGTTATATACTTACGTATCTCATCCTTACACTAGGATTTTTGTATTTCTGAAGGTGTCTGTAGTTTTGTAGACGCCACAGTTAGCGGGAGGGTCCTTTCTCTCGCTCTTTTTTAACACCGCTCTTACCTGTGAGTATGTGTGTTAGTCTGCTGAAGCCCTGTAAAGTCCCTGGGTCCAGCCCCAGAAATCCTGTTGTGCTGCGGTCTTTGTTCCTTCCTGCCACCACACCTGGGTGCCCTGCGGCGCTCTCCATGCCCAAAGCATCCAGGGAGATTGTCTGGGAGTCCGGCTCCCACTCCATAATGCCCAAAGGAGGATCTGACTGAGACGCAGCAGGACTCTCCCACTGTGGAGCTTTCTTCAGAAAGCAGATGTAGAGCTGCTGGAGCCAGAGAGCTCAGGGCAGTGCAAGCAGAGGATGTGAGCACAGCCCCTAGGCGTGGAGGTGTGGGATATGGCTAAGAGGGAGCAGGCAGCAGATGGAGAGCAGCATGCAGAAATAGCTTGTGCCAGCAGGTCACACCACTTTCATTGGGCCTCAAAGCCTGTGAAAGAGGTGAGACTTGAACATCCTACTGCTTCTTGCAGAGCCTGAGTAGACTGTAAATCAGCCACGCAATGTCCTCCACTCTGGGACCATCGCTTGGGCGTGGGAGCCCCGCTCATGCATGGAACCCCCTACAAGAAAAGGATTCCCAGGACACTTTGCAGGGCCCTGCAGGCCCATGGAGATGCTGCCCAGCTGCC